CAACAGAAAGAATAACTACAACTAACTACAACTGAAGAAACGACGACAACACCTGTGATAACCACAACTGAAGAAGTAACTACAACGCCAGTAGTAACAACAACAGAAAGAATGACTACAACAGAAGAAATGATTGCAACTGCATCACCTACAATAACGACTGTACCATCAACAACTGCAATACCAGAAACTACTACTGAGGAAACAACTACTTTAATTACAACAGAAGTTATACTACCTACAACAGTCACAGTACCTATAACAACAATGGTAACAACTAGTACTGAAGAAGTAACAACCACTATTACAGAGGAAAGTACAACATTAATTACAACTACAATACAAGAAACAACAGAGGAATCTACAGTTGCAACAACGACAGAAGTTGCGGTGCCAACAACGACGACGTCAATACCTACTACAACAGAAGTAGCAATGACTACTATGGCTACTACAACAACACAAATAGCAACAACTACAATAAGTACAACAACAGAAGTAATGACGACTATAACGGCTACAACAACAGAGTTCACAGAGGTTGTTACCACAACACTTACTGAAGTTCTGACTACTGAGTCTATAACAACTACTGAACAACCAACAACTACAACATTAATGGCAACAACAACAGCTACCGTGGCTCAAACTACAGTGGAAGAAACAACTACGGCGTCAATAACAAGTACTGAACAACCAACAACAATGGCAACAACAACAGCTACCGTAGTTCGAACTACTGTGCCAGAAATAACTACTGAGACAATAACAACAACTGAAAGGACAACAACAGTTACGGTAGCTCCAACTACTGAGTCAGTAATAACTACCGAACAGCCAACAACTACAACAACAATAGCTACCATAACTCCAACAACTGTGCCTGAAACAACTACCGAAAGAATAACAACTACAACAACAGTTGCAGTAGCTACAACTACTGAACAGCCAACAACTACAACAATAGCAACAACAACATCTACCGTAACTCCAACTACTGAATCAGTAACGAGTACTGAGCAGCCAACAACTACAACAACTGTCGCTACTGTAGAAACAACAACAGAAACAATAACTACTGCTGTCGAAACAACTACAGAAACAACAACTACTGTCGGCGAAACAACTACAGAAGCAATAACTACTACTGTCGAAACAACTACAGAAGCGGCGACTACTGCTATAGAAACAACTACAGAAACAACAACTACTGTCGTGGAAACAACTATTACAACATCAGCTACTCCTACGGAAAGAACAACTACAATGGCAGCCACTATTGTTGTCGAAACAACTACAGAGGCAATGACTACTACTGCAGAAACAACAACCACAGAAGCAACAACTACTGCCGTCGAAACAACAACTACAGAAGCAACTACTGTTGTAGAAACAACTACAATAGCAGCTACAACTACTAAAATAATTATGACGGCATTAACAACAACTCCTACTACTACATCCATAACAACCACTGAAATACCGACAACAATCACTGAAACTCCTTCCACAACTACCACAGAAGAAAGTACAACAACAACGATCATAACAACAGCAATAGGAGAGACTACTACTGAGACTACTTCTTCACCAACTACTACAGTCAAAATAACTTCTACCACTGTTAGTACTGAACCAACAACTACAACAGCAGAAACAACAACAACTCTCACCACAATTGTAGAAGCTCTAACTACGGTACCAAGAACCACTACAGAAGAAAGTACAACGGTTATTGTAACGACAGAGGAAGAAACAACTGTGGAGACTAGTGTTCCAACGACTACAGTTACAACTCCAACAACAACCAGTGTCGTAGAAACAACATCAGTACCAACCACAACTGAAACAATTACAACAGAATCGACAGCAGTTCTTATGGTGACATCTACAACAGCTCTGACCACGATACCAACAACTACCACAGAGAGTACAACAACAAGAACAACAGAAGAAGAAACAACTACAGAATTGACTATTATAACAACTACAGCTGCTACGATAGCTCTAACTACACTGGAATTAACTAGTACCGAGGAGCCTGAAACAACACCTACAACCACTGAGATGATAACAACGGAAACAACTGTAATTACGATCATAACAACACAGGCTGCAACAACAACACCAACAATTACCGAAGAAAGTACAAGTACAGTGCAGGAAACCACAGAACCTACTGTCTTCGAAACAACTATGATTACAGTAGCTCCTACTACAGAACCAGTAAGGATTACTGAAGAAGAAACAACAACAGCAGCAACCACAACAGAATTGATTACAGCGCCTACGACTACAACAACGACTACAGAATCACCAGTTACAGTTGTGGAAACTACTACTGTGGAAATGACAGTCATCACTACGACTGTAGAAGAAACAACAACAGAGCCTGCTGTTGTACCTACAACTATAGCTACAGTAGCTACAACTACAAAGTCAATAGAAACAACTACAGCGGAACCAACTACAACAACGGAAATGACTACTACAGAATCGACTACTGTCCTGACTACAACTTCGTCCATAATACCGGCAACAACAACAACACTGGAGAGCACTACTGAGTTATTGGCAGCGACTACTGTAGAGACAGCAACAGCGATAACAGGGACAACAACAGCATCTACTGTATCACCAAGTACTACAACTACAGTAACAACAACAATGACAACAGAAAGCACCACTGAGAAAACAGAAACGACTATTTTGGAGATAACATCCACAGAAGAAGCTGTGACAACGGAATATACCGTGGAAACACCAACCTCAGAGTCTACAACAAGAGTTACAGAAACAACGGCGATTGAAGTACCAACAACAACAACTATAATGGAAACAACGAGTACTGCAGTACCAACAACGACAAGTATTTTAGAAACGACCACCGAAATACCAACAACAAGTATTACAGAACCCACAACAGAAGTACCAACAACAATAAGCATTGCAGAAACAACAACTACAGAAGTACCAACAACAACAAGTAGTATAGAAACAACGACTACTGCAGCACCAACAACGACAAGTATTCTAGAAACGACTACTGAAATACCAACAACAACAAGTATTACAGAAACCACAACAGAGCAGCCAACAACAATAAGCATTGCAGAAACAACAACTACGGAAGTACCAACGACAACAAGTAGTATAGAAACAACGACCGCTGCAGCACTAACAACGACAAGCATTCTAGAAACGACTACTGAAACACCAACAACAACAAGTATTACAGAAACCACAACAGAGCAGCCAACAACAATAAGCATTGCAGAAACAACAACTACGGAAGTACCAACGACAACAAGTATTATAGAAACAACGACCACTGCAGTACCAACAACGACAAGTATTCTAGAAACGACTACTGAAACACCAACAACAACAAGTATTACAGAAACCACAACAACCGAGCGACCAACAACAATAAGCATTGTAGAAACAACAACTACAGAAGTACCAACAACAACAAGCATTGTAGAAACAGTAACTACAGAAGTGCCAACAACAACAAGTATTATAGAAACAACGACCACTGCAGTACCAACAACAACTACCGAAGTACCGACAACAACAAGCATTATAGAAACAATAACTACCTTAGTACTAACAACAACAAGCATTATAGAAACGACATCTACTGAAGTACCAACAACAACCAGTATTGCGGAAACACCTATTACTGAAATACCAACAACAACAAGCATTATAGAAACCACGACTACTGAAGTACCAACAACAACAACAAGTGTTATAGAAATCACTACTGTAGAACTACCAGCAACAAGCATTATAGAAACAACAACTACTGAAGAAAGTGTAACAACCACGATAATAACAATATTCACTACCGAAGAAATTACAATACCAGTAACCACTATTGAAGAAACCACAGTTACCCTAACAATACCAACAATAACTACTGAAGAAAGTACACCAACCACAATATTATTAACTACTATAGAAGAAACTACGATTACTACCGAAGAAAGTGCAACTACTCCAACAATATTGATAGCTACTGCCGAAGAAAGCACAACATTTGCAATAACAAGCGCCATTACGGAAGAAACTACAACTACTCCGACAATACTGACAGTTACTACTGAAGAAAGCACAACATTAGCAACAACAAGCGCAATTACAGAAGAAACTACAACTATTCCGATAATAATAACAACTACTACTGAAGAAACTACAGTTATTCCGATAACGCTAACAGCTATAACTGAAGAAACTATAGCTACAACAACCTCAACTATTGAAGAAACTACGACTATTCCAATAATACTGACAGCTGTTACTGAAGAGAGCACAACTTCTGCAACAATAATTGCTACTACTGAAGAAGCTACAACTATCCCGACAATAATAACAACTACTACTGAAGAAACTACAACTATTCCGATAGTACTGACAGCTATTACTGAAGAAAGCACAACTATAGCTACAACAACCTCAACCATTGAAGAAACCACGACTATTCCAACAATGTTGACAGTCACTACTGAAGAAATTACGACTATCCCGATAATAATGACAACTGCTACTGAAGAAAGCACAACTTTAACAACGACAATCGCCACTACTGAAGAAACAACGACTATTCCGATAACATTGACAACCATTGAAGAAGTAACTACAGCTATCCCGACAATAATAACAACTACTACTGAAGAAACTACAACTATTTCGATAATACTGACCACTATTACTGAAGAAAGCACAACTGTAGTTACAACAACCTCAATTATTGAAGAAACTACGACTATTCCAACTATACTGACAGCTACTACTGAAGAAACTACGACTATTCCGATAATATTGACAACTATTGAAGAAGAAATTACTCTCCCGGTAACAATGACAACTGCTACTGAAGAAAGTACACCTGTAACAACAACTACTACGGAAGAAACTGCATTTATTCCAATAACAGTGACAACTACTGAAGAAACTACCACTATTCCAACACTAATAACTAGTATTGAAGAAAGTACAATAACCACATTTTTACCAACCACTACTGAAGAAAGTACAATAACCACATTTTTACCAACCACTACTGAAGAAAGTACAACGACTATTATTATCTCACCAACAATAGAGCTAACTACTACAGAATCTATTGGTGTTTCAACGACTATGTCTACAATAATTTTAACAACAGTAACAGTAACTAGTACTGAAGAAATAGCGACTACTACTACGGAAATTTCTGAATTAACTTCTCCTACCACTACTATTTTTCCTACAATGGCTACCATTGTTACCACTGTTTCACCTACGATACGTTTAGATACTACCAGTTTGATTACAACTGAAGAAGAAACTACTATAGTATTAACAACGCCAATCGTAACTACAGAGTCCACTGCAACTACTGAGCAATCGACTGAAGGTGTATTTACAACTATTTCGCCAACTACAGAAATGGTGACGTGGACGACTACGCCTGAAATCGTAAGTAGAATGATGTTTCATATTTTTGAATTTGAAGATTTGGGAGTTTTGAAAATTATAAATTTGAAAACTGAATTTTTAGGTTATTGAATAGATTGCAGAATTTGAGATTTTTTAAATTTGTAAATTAGAGAATTTCTGTATTTGCAAGATATGAATTTTTAGATTTGAAAATTTGTGATTTCAAAAATTCCAAATTTTCAAATTATTGTATGTGCAAATTTTTTATTTCCTAAATCTTAAGAATTTTGAGTTTAGAAATTCTTAAATATGTAAACTTAAAAATTCGAAAATTCTTAATTTGTGAAACTTGAAAACCGAAATTCTGAAACTTGAAAACCTAAATTAACATTTCAATTATTAATGAAAGCTTTCTACAATTCAATATCGTTATTGTTACAACCATTTTGAATAATTATTATTATCATAGGTAAAAATAACAACAATAGAAGTAACAACGCCTGAAATAACAACGGAGTACTTTGAAATGACAGAAACATACCATGACACAGAATTCGAGGAAGAATATAAAGAAGAATACGAAGAAGAAACAACTGTAGAACTAACATGGTCCGAGTACGAAGAACTGACAACCGTTAAATTGAAACCAGAAACAACAACTGTACCTCCATTGATAATTACAACGGAAAAACTTACTACTGTAATTACTACACCAACACCAACTACGGAAATTACTGAAATAACGACAGAAAGTTTCACTACAACTGAAGAAACAACTGAGACTTCGTTTATTACAAGTGAGAAAACAACATTTACTACAGAGTCACCAGTTGTAACTACAGAAACAACAATGTCTATTGCGCCCGAGATTACTTCACCAACATCAACCACAGAAATTACGACAATAACAACTGAGACAACCAGTGTCGAAACTATGGAAGTTACAACAGAGTCTATATCAACTGGTGTTGTTACGGAAACAACAGAAACAACTGTTGCAGTAGAAGTTGAAATTACTTCACAGTTTACTACGGAAGTTACTGAAACAACAACAGTAGTTACTGAAACAACAGAATCCGCGACTGAATTAGTGACTACGGAATCTTTGCCAACAAATGTAACAACTGAAACAACTGAAATAACTGCTGAAATTGAAGTTACATCACCGCTTACTATGGAAGTTACTGAAACAACTACAGTTACTGAAACAACCGTGTCTGTGACGGAATCTGTTACTACAGAATTTGTACCAGTTAATGTAACAACTGAAACAACCGAATTTACAACGGAACTTGTTACGACAGAATTTGTGGCGGTTAATGTAACAACTGAAACAACCGAATTTACAACAGAATCTATTACGACAGAAATTTCACCTGTTGGTGTAACTACTGAAGCAACTGAAACAACGGAATCTGTTACGACAGAATTTGTACCGGTTAACGTAACAACGGAAACAACTGAATTTACAACGGAATCAATTACAACAGAATTTGTGCCGGTTAATGTAACAGCAGAAACAACTGAAACAACCGAATCTACAACGGAATTTATTACAACAGAATTTGTGCCGATTAATGTAACAACAGAAACAACTGAAACAACAGAATCCGCAACAGAATCTGTTACGACAAAATTCGTGCCGATTAATGTAACTATTGAAACAACTGAAACAACCGAATCTACATCAGAATCTGTTACGACAGAATTATTGCCAATTAACGTAACAATGGAAGCAACTGAAACAACCGAATTTACAACGGAGTTTATTACAACAGAATTTGTGCCGATTAATATAACAACAGAAACAACTGAAACAACTGAATCTACAACAGAATCTGTTACAACAGAATTTTTGCCAATTAACGTAACAATGGAAGCAACTGAAACAACCGAATTTACAACGGAGTTTATTACAACAGAATTTGTGCCGATTAATATAACAACAGAAACAACTGAAACAACTGAATCTACAACAGAATCTGTAACAACAGAATTTTTGCCAATTAATGTAACAACTGAAACTACTGAAACAACGTTATCTGTTGAAGTTACTTCACCAGTAGCAGAAACAACGGAATCCTCCGAATTTACAACCGAATCAGTAACTGCAACGAATATAACAGAAGAGACTACAGAAACAACCGTTAGTACAGTAATTACGTTGTATACTCCGATCACTGAAAGTACAACAACAACTGCTGCAACAACATTTATTACTGCAGAGCCGCCAGAATATACGATTACGTTTACAACTTTCGCTACCGAAACTGTACCCGTTAATATAACTACAGAAACAACCGAAACAACTGAGTCCACGGAGATGGAAGTAACTTCATTTACAACAGAAATCTTAATAATGACGACGGAATCTCCCGTTGTTGAAACTGAAATAACTGAATCTGTAACCGAATTTGAAACTACTGAATGGTTAGCGATTACAACCACTGAAACAACTGAAGCAACTGTATACATCGTATCTGAGATTACTATGCCGTTGACAACAACAGAGATGGTAGAAACAACAATTGAATCTCCAATTGTTAGTATTGAAACAACTGTTGTGACGGAGCTAACAACTGTTACTACAGAGTCGTTGCCTACTCTTTTTACAACTGAAGCAACTGAAACAACTGAAACAACTTTCGTGACGGAGCTAACAAGTATGACTACAGAGTCGTTGCCTACTCTTTTTACAACGGAAGCAACTGAAACAACTGAAACAACTTTTGTGACGGAGCTAACAATTATGACTACAGAGTCGTTGCCTACTCTTTTTACAACTGAAGCAACTGAAACAACTAAAACAACTGTTTCTATTGAAGTAACATTCCCCGAAGAGACATCTACCGAAGAAACTGAACTCATTACTGAAACAACAGAAGAGTATGAGGAAGAGTACGAAGAAGAAGAAACTACCGAAGAAGAACCAGAGGTCTACGACTATGTAGAAAGCACCGAAACAACATTAACTTCGACCACGGAGAGTCCACTACTCACGACGGAATTGACAACTGTTGCAAAGTTGCCAACTGTAGAACCACCTAAAACAACTGAAACAACCGTCTCCGTTACAGTCGAAGTAACAACACTGACAACTACAGAAATAGCAACGGAAACTCCACTTCTTCCGGAAACAACATTTTCAACAACGGAGCTAACAACTATGACCACTGAGTACTTACCTGTTAATCTAACAACAGAAACAACTGAAACAACATTATATGCTGTGACAGAAATCACTTTAGAAACAACCACAGAATCTTTACCTGTATTAATCACAACATCAGAATTTACTGAATCGACGATTGAAACTACTAAATATTTTACAATTAATGCAACAACAGAAACAACCGAAACAACTGAGTCCACGGAGATGGAAGTAACTTCATTTACAACAGAAATCTTAATAATGACGACGGAATCTCCTGTTGTTGAAACTGAAATAACTGAATCTGTAACCGAATTTGAAACTACCGAATGGTTAGCGATTATAACTACTGAAACAACTGAAACAACAGAAACAACTGAAACAGCAGAAATAACTGAAACAACTGAAACGACTGAAACCGCTGTAACAACTAAAACAACTGAAATAGCTGAAACAGCTGAAACAACTGAAGCAACCGAAACAGCAGAAACAACTGGAACAACTGAAATGACTGAAACTGCTGTAACAACTAAAACAACTGAAACCGCTGAAACAACTGAAGCAACCGAAACAGCTGAAACAACTGAAACAACCGAAAGCACTGAAACAACTGTTTCTATTGAAGAAACAACGTCTACCGAAGAGATATCTACCGAGGAAACTGAAGTAATTCCTGAGACAACATCAGAAGAGTACGAGGAGGAATATGAGGAAGAGTACGAAGAAGAAGAAACTACCGAAGAACTAGAGGTTTATGATTATGAAGAAAGCAACGAAACAACATTAAGTTCAACAATGATTAGTCCACTTGTCACAACGAAATTGACAACAGTTGCAAAGTTGGTAACTATAGAAACAACTGAAACAATTGAAACAACTGAAACTGGAACAACTGAAACAACTGAAACGACTAGGACAACTGAAACAACTGGAACAACAGAAACAATTGAAACAGTCAAAATCACTAGAACAACTGAAACAACTGAAGTAACTGGCATAACTAGAACAACTAGAACAACTGAAACTACTGAAAGTACTGAAAGTACTGAAAGTACTGAATCAACTGAAACTGGAACTACTGAAATAACAGAAACTATTGAAACAGCTGAAGTAACTGGAACAACCGTCTCCATCGAAACAGCTGAAGTAACTGGAACAACCGTCTCCATCGAAACAGAAGTAACTTCACCATCCACTTTAGAAATTACAGAATCTCCACTATCTCCTCCGAAAATAACATTATCAACAACAGGACTAACAACTATGAGCACAATATCATTCCCAGAAAATTTCACCATCGAAACCTCAGAAGTGACCCTTTCCATATCAACATTTTCTCCGGTTCAGTTTACAAGTCTCAGTACGTTTGAAACAACGCCGTTCATCTATATCACACCATTCGAAACAACAACAAAATCCTTCGAAATAACTACATTCCCCAAAGAGATATCTCCCGAAGAAACTGAACTAATTTTTGAACCAACATCAGAAGAGTACGAAGAAGAATACGAAGAAGAGTACGAAGAAGAAGAAACTACAGAAGAGCTTTTCGATTACGAAGAAAGGAACGAAACAACACTGAGTTCAACTATGAGTCCGTTCTTCACAACGGAATTACCCATCGCAGTGCTTCCACCTGTAGAAACAACTGGAACTACAATGTTCTTTGAGGTTAACGTCACCACTGCGTCTATCACCGAAAGCCCTGCAACAACCGAGTGGAGAACAATTAGTGAAACAACCGAAAGTGTTGTATTCACAACGGAGAGTACTAGTTTTCATTTGGAAGTCACAGAGTCTACGGAGTCCACATCTCGTACACCGATAATTGTTGTGGAAACTGTTTCTTCGCCTGAAGTTATAATTTCTCCTGAAGTCACAACTTCTGCTTTTGAAATTACGACACTTTCTTCTGAAAGCACCATTTCTTCTCCTGAAGTTATTATTTCTTCTCCTGAAGTCGTGACAATTTCTTCACCTGAAGTTGTGACCATTTCTTCTCCTGAAGTTATGACAATTTCTTCTCCTGAAATGACAATTTCTTCTCCTGAAATGACAATTTCTTCTCCTGAAATCACAACCATTTCTTCCCTTGAAGTTACACCTTCTGCTGAACTCACAGTTCCTCCACCAGAAATTACAATCTCTCCTCCAGAATTTACAACTTCACCTGAAGTTACACTCTCTTCTCCTGAACTTACAATCCCTCCTCCTGAAGTTACAATTTCCACGCCTGAAATTACAATACCCTCTCCAGAGGTTACCAAAATGTTCACAACACCCGAATACGCCGAAACAGAAACAATATACGACGTAGAATACGGAAAAGACTACAAAGAATCCTACGACGAAGAAGAATACGAAGAAGAAACCACAGAAATAATTTCCCCAATCTGGCAAGACTACGTAGAAGAAAATGCCACGACTGAAAGCATCATTCACGTGGCGGTTACTATTACATCAAAAGAATCAACCATCACGTCTGCAACAGGAACTCCAACGGCTCTGACGGAAACCTTGGAGCCAGTTAGTAGGGTCAGTTTGACGGTTCATACAGAAACAACTATGGAGTCAGTTAGCACAGTCAGTTGGACTGCTGAAATAACGAAGTTTGAAGTGGAGACAGGTAATGTGACTTCTACCCTGAAGGAAGGTGTTACAACCTTCACGTACACCCTGCCGTCCACCACCGAGTTCACAACGGAGCATCTGCCGTTCGACTACTTTGAAACTGAAGAGAGCACTCTGGAAGTTAGTCTAAGTAGTACAGAAATGGAGAATCGTACTACAAAAATGGAGGACCGTACAAAAATGATGACCCATGAAGTTATTTCGACCACATACAAAGTGCCTATGACAACAGACGAGACTCAGAAAAGAACTCGTCACCAGGAGCTGAAAATAGAGCTGCTGAAGAAGCTCGAAGAGCTAGAGAAGACCAAAGAGGAGTTGCTAACAAAAGAAGAAGAACTGGAAGCAGAAGAAGAGAACTGGGAGCACGAAAAAGCGAGACGGCTAAACGAGACGATGGAGCGTCGCCTGAAACTGAAATCCTCAACGCCTGCAAGCGTCACGAGGCCAACAAGGCCTGAAACAACGGTGAGAACTACCATAATTACAACACCGGATATGCTTGAGCAGGAGGTGAGGAGTTTGGAGAAGAAGTTGGACGACCAGGAGAAGGATTTGAAGACACGAGAGGAGCGGTTGGAGGAAAGGCGGCGTAGACTGCAGAAGGAGAAAGAGGAGTTCGAGGAAAAGTTGCGGCAGATGGAGTCTGAGGAGACTCGGTCGACGCCATCTTTGACGCAGCCGCCACCCGTGGAGACAACGTTCGACATTCGGGAAACAACAAAGAGAGAAGGCAGTAGCAGATCCGACCTGCACGTGGAGGAGGAAGAGGAGGAGGATTACGACACCACGAAGCTGTGCTTTAACGTCCTGAAGAAACCTTTGGGGAAGTACAGCGAACATGTGGTGACGGAAAGAGTTTGTCTGCCGAATAAAATGGGGGGATCGATAGAGCAGAGGATTAAAATAAACGGTTTAAATCTGGAAGGACATGAATGGACGGAAAGCCCTCATGGGAGAAAGTCTGTGAGGGATCGAGTCAAACGCGGTTATCCGGAAGATATCGATTGTGAAGTAAACGAGGGAGATCCTGAACAGACACGAGTGAATGAAGTTATTGCGATGTATGACAATTTTAGTTACACGTTCGTGAACGAATATGTCACCCAGTCGCTGCGAAATGAGGAAGATAGGTACAGGAAGAGATCCATTTTGGGAGCTGATGAAAGTAGCGAAGACAGTGAATGGAATGACTGCGAAGCAAAAAATGTGGACGAGGAAAATGTCTTGCAGTGGCCTACTGAGAGTACGATTTCGATGGAGGAGTATTTTGTTACCAGAAAATTTGAGATATGTATAGGAAACGATTATGGTGAACATGAAGGAAGTCATGTAGTGAAAAGAAGTCAAGATTTGATTGATGACGATGAAAGTGTTGAGGCAGTCTCGGAGTATGAAAACGTTCTGGATACTTTGGATACTTTAGCTGATGAGGATGTAACACGAAATATAAAGACTACGAGTAGAGCTTCTGAAGATGACGACGAGGATGAGGACTCGAAAACTACTAGAGGTAATGTAAAAAATGGTAATCAATTTATTTAATGAGGAGCTGATAAAGTCGTGATATGAATTAGGGTTGGGTAGTCAAGATTGATAAATACATTCTTGATATATTATCACGAAGAGAAATGTGGAAAATGGAAACAAAAGTTTAGAATGTTTTACAGGGTCATTTAAATTTCATGTAATACAGCTAACTGAGAAATGACAATTTTTCCTATTTGATATATTCAGCAATGTCCAATTTTCAAATTTCTAATAACTTTCAGTTTTTCAAATTTTACAAATGTACAAATTTTCACGTTTAATTAAAAAAATGTTTGAATAATTGAATAATTGAATAACTGGATAACTGGAAAATTAAATAATTGAATACTTGAATAGTGGAATAATGGAATAATGGAATAATTGAATAATTGAATAATTGAATAATTGAGTGAATTAATAATTGAAAAATTTGAAAATTCAAAAATGGACAAATAAAAAAATATAAAAATTGGAATATTGGAAAATTAAAAATAATTGGAAAAATTGAACAGTTGAAAAGTTTGAAGAAAGATTGAAAATTGGAAGATTGAGAAATTGAAAGATTGTGAAATTGAAAAATTGAGAAGTCGAAGGATTGAGAAATTGAAAGATTGAAAATTGAAAAATTGAAAAATTGAAAAATTGAAAAATTGAAAAATTGAAAAATTGAAAAATTGAAAAATTGAAAAATTGAAATGTCTAAACATAGAATACTGCATTCCTCTATTTACAAAAAACACAACTTAACAACTAATAAAAATTAAATAACAAGTATAACTACAAGACGTACAATATTACATCTATTTAATTCCTTTTTCAGTCAAAGTGAAGAAGAAACCTGGTCCAGAATGGCCAACCGAGGCTTTCACAGCGTATCACATAGGTGGCACCAAAACGTGGACCTTGGAATTCCCTGAAATTGTATTAGAAAAACCAGAACAGAAAGAAACTACCGAAGAAGACAGTGAAAAAGACAATCCAACAACTTGTTATCTCGTTCTCGTTAACGGTAAAGAAACGATTGAAACCGCAAAAAAAAATTACGTCGACAAAATACCTGAGAATGACTTTGAATCGTCTTTGAAGAAATACGTTGCAGAAAACGATGATGAGTATTTGAGAAATAGGTAAACACGTCTATACAGGGTGTTTCAGTGACTCTGATACAAAGCAATAGTTCTTTATTAATTACTATTAATAATACAAAAAAAAACATTCAAAAGAATTAAATATTTAATTCAAAAAGTATGATGTAAAGATTTGCACAAAAAAAGAATTGTGTGCTCAAGTTTGAACTTTTTGAGATTTCAAGGTCATCGGTGTTTTTTTCAAGGAAACTATATTCTTTTTCATAAATCGATTCTGTGGAGTATTATGTGCAAGAAAGAAGTAGGGTATATTATAAAAAATGTGAGTTTGTGAGATATTTTGAACTGTTTTGTAAAATGCTCGAATTTAAAATATCTCACATATTAATAAATATTTCTTGATACTTTGGGTAAAATATTTCATGGAATTGATCTGTGTAAAACAATATACAGGGTGTCTCACAATTAGTGTAGGTCCCTGAAATGGGCATTTTAAAGTATGTATAGGATGTCTCATAACTAGTGTAGATGCCTGAAATGGGGAGTAGCTGACATGATTCTGAATAAGATTTTCCTTTGCGGAAAGGGTGTTTAAAGCTTCGTTTTTGAATTATTAAGGAAAAACACGGACCAATCAGAGCGAGAGGATTATTATACGTTAGATTACTACGCGTTGGTTAACTACGCGTTAGATTACCACGCGTTAGATTCCTACGCTTAGAATTACCACGCGTTGCATTACTACGCGTTGCACTACTAT